GCGCTATTTTTATTGTGTGCCCCAGCCATGCTGTGCTGTGGCAAAGTTCAGCATGGGGCAGGCAGCCACCTCAATGGGAGCCTCCTGGTTCCCTGCCCTGCAAGAGCCCCTTGGGCCTCTACCAGTTGTCACTCCCTGCCCAGACTGTGGGATGACTGAGCATCCTGACGAGCCCTATCCACAGCTGTGTCTCAGCCTGCAAGGGCCAAGACATGTCATCCCAGCCTCATGCTGCCTTCTTCCCTCTTTTCCTCTGCGATGGACAGGAGCGTGGAGGCTCCTAAGCGAGTGCTCATCCAAGAGGAAAACCCAGCAAGCTGTGGTGACCTGCAGGTCAAGGACAAAGGCGAGGAGGAGGAGGAGAGCCTCGGGCCTTCTGGGTCCGCCAAGCCCTCAAGAACGTCGGTTCCCAGGGCCAAGTTTGCACGGGGCTTAGCAAGCAAGAGCTGGGCTGGAGGCTGCGTGAACTGCAGTGCCTGGTGGGATGTGCTCTGGGGACTTCAGCTAGGAAGGGAGCCTCTGCTCTTGACACGTGGGCTGGAAACGTGGGGCAGTGTGGACATGCTGGTCCTACTGGGGATGTAGAGGCTGTGGTGCGGGGCAGGGAGCAGGCTGCTCTGGGGATGGGGGAACCAAGGGGACTGCCACTCTTCCCTCCCCCCTTTCCACTGCTCCTAGAGAAGGGGATGGAGTCTGGTATTGCTGAATAAGAACTGAAAATGCCTTTTGGCAAGTCTTTCTGTGATGTCCTTGCCATTTTGAGGAAGTCGGCATTAAACGCTCAGAGTGCCAGGAGAAGGCGGCTCTGGGGCTTGCACAGGACCTGGTTTGATGTCCTGTGCTTACTGCCTCCTTAGCCCCCCTGTGTGCTGTGGTGGGAAGCTGTGCTCGTGGTAAGGAAAGCGCTTGGACACCTCAAGCTGGTTCCCACTGTCCCAGCCCTCACAACAGGTTCCCACCATCTCCCTGCACCTTGGCTTTCTTGAACTTCCTGTTGATGGTCACATCCCAGCCCAAGCAGAGCCAAGCTCACCCTGATCTACAGCCCATGAGGGGAAGGAGGGGCCAGGAAAGTCACCTTTAACCACGTCCCAGTACGGCACAGCCTGTGTGGTCCCAGGGGCTCTTATCTGCAGAGGTAGCATAGGTGTAAGGAGGCACCCAGGGTCCTTCCCCAGAGGCAGGCAGTGGGATCTGAACAGAAAGCTTTGCACAACCATCTCTGCCTTGGGTGGAGGCAGGGCATCAGGTGTGTATTTGAGGAGGGGGGGCGGTTGTTGCTGGAGAAGTCCCTTTCTCCCTCCTGTGCTGCAGGAGCAGATTTCCTTTCATAACTGGGAAGTACGCTGCTGCACCGCAAGACTGTGCTTGCTGCGAGCGCCGCCTTTCCCCCCTGCCTGTGCTTTGCTCAGGACACCACACCAGATGTCAGCTGCCTCCGGGGCCAGCCCCACACCATGCAGCATGGGACACGTCCCACTGTGCCCTGCCTGGTTGAGGATAGGGACAGAGTGTTCCCTGGAGCGGCTGTCTGTGAGACCAAGGTGCAAACTGAGCCTGAGGGCAGAGGTGTTGGCAGACCCATGGGTTGCACTGTGCCTGGTAAGACCAGCCAGCCTCCTGCTCAGCCGATAGGGAAAGGCCTTTGGTTGAAGGATACTAGGTAGACACTGTCAATCAAGCCTGCAGGCGTGGTCACCAAGCTTTTTCCTAGTTGCCTAGGTTGTGTTGTAACCCCAGAAGCTGGGCACCTTGGTGGGTCTGACCTGAAGTGATGTGATGAGAGGTTGCTTACCGAAGGATGTTGCTGACTGCCACTGTCCCGCCTGGCTGAACTGATGGAAAGGCAGTGTAAGCCTTGGGAATGTGCCACAAATTTTCCATTACTGGGTGTTCTGGCTGGGTTACTGGAGAGACTAGGAAGGTTTATCTCCATTTGCTTCCAGTCCATCCTCTAGGCTTCAGGAAAAAAAATACATCTCTGGAACCTGTCTCTGTGAAATGTGGCTTAAATTACCTATAGGCTTGCAAAGTTTGTCTTGTATGTGTAATGGTTTGCATAAATAATGATTATAATGGGGTTGTGGGCAACGTGAGCATATGAACCTCGTTTCTTTTAGAAAGACGACCAGAAAATGGGGCTATAAAACATACAGGAATGAGGTAAACAGTTTGGTCTCTGCAGAGGAAAATCATACTTCCCTGATTTGTTGCAAGTCTTTCAGTACTTCAGTAATATAATAGGTAATATTCAGCCCGTTTGTGTAACTTTCTTAGATGTTCAGAAAACCTCTGAAATTCCTCACAAAAGACTGTTAAGAAAACTGTCCACCGGAGGAGATGTAGAGTGCTGGATCAAAAACTGGCTGAGGGTCCACAAACAAAGGAGTGAATGAGCAGTTGCAGTGTGACAAGAGGAGACGGATGATGTCCTTTGCTATTAATGACCTGGAAAAGATAACGTGCAGCAAGGTACCCAAAACCTGGAGATACCCTGGAGTTGTTCAGATTTGTCAAGGTGAAGCAACTCCAAAGTGACACTGTGTGAAACGAAGTGGTGTGAGGCGATGAGAAAGTAGGTACTGAGAAGTGTGCAGCCAAGTGGATTGGAAAGAATGATTTGTCCTGGGACATGGCTGGCTTCTAAATTACTGTGACTACTCAGGGCAGCAGCATTGCAGCCAGGTTACAGAGATGCTTTTCCTCAATACGCAAAGATGCCATCGGAGAAGTAAATCATGCTCAGCTGCACAAGGAGTAGTGTAAGGAGAGATGCTGAGAGCATCAGGATGCTCTTCTGGCAGTCAAGGTCATTTCCCTACCCAGGACATTGTATGCCGTTCTGGTCACCTTTCCATGAGGTCAAAAGAGGTTATGTTGGGGATGTGTGGTGAGAGCGGTTAGAGCTAGAAGACACCTCATGTCATGGGAAGGAGAGGGCACTTAATAGTAGTGAGCTTAGTATGTCTAGAAAAAGCAAAGGCTTTTGTTTTTTACCTTTTCTCACTGTGCAAGGAGAACTGAAGGCTGTAGAGTTGCACGGGGATCATAGTCTTTTACTCAACATCTGGAACTTCTTGCTGCAAGATACCATTTACAACCTAAAAGTTTACAGGATTCCCAGAAAGAGGAGTGAGAAGTATTTCTCTTTACAATGAGTCCCTGTAGGCTGGCACTTCAGAGGTAAAAGCAGAGTGGTATAACCATTAATGCTCCAAAGCATGTGACTTGCCTTTGAATCTCATTCCACCATTTCTTGCCATCCCTCCCCTGGAGCTTCCTGAGTCTCTCGTTAATTCAGTCAGGGTGAATTATCTTGCCTGGCTTCCCTGTTGGTTTCCAACTGTGATCTTGTGGCTTGGCTTTCTTTTCCTGCTTTTCTACTTCCTTTTTCTGCTTCTGGCGGCCCTGCTCCAGCTCTGTTCTCTGAATATCTCTTAGCAGCCCTGCTGCAGCTCTGTTCCTGTGAATATCTCTTAACAGGCTGTTTGGTGGCTTTTCCAATTTGGCTGACCCCCCTCAAGGCCTGTACTGAGCTGGGCTTTTGCTTGTCGTGGTGCCCTTAGTCGTCTGTGCTTCAGCTGCTTTGCAGCTGCATATCTGTACCAGCTGAGCTGGGAGGGATCACTTTGAAGCCAGGCTCTCTAGGACACCGCAGCAAATGGTTTGGTGGTCATTATCCAGCCAGCGTTGTGCTGTGATGCTGATAATCTCCTGCCTGGCTGCAGAGATTTGCCAGGATATACCCGTGAATTGAAGAGCCCTGCACCCTCTCTGCTAATGTCACCATCTAACTCAGAGCTAGAAGGGCAGGGCTGGTGGCAGGGGACATCTTTGGGACAAGAGGCTGAGACCAGCACAGGACAGTAGTGGTGGCTTTTTTTGCCCAGTCCACCAGGATGGCATTTCTGGACTTGGGTAAGCAGCCCCTGAGCATTGCTCAGAAGCAGTGCAGCACCAGCCAGCCTTTCTGCATGGTACGTGGTAGTAGTGAAGGATTTGGGGTGGTTGGTGGGAGCTGGATAAGAAGAGTGGTTCAGGGATCAGCAGCCTCAGTAGATCTCCCTGTCATCACTGCTTCCTTCTGCAGCTGATGGGATTTTCTCTCCCCTGCTTTACAAAGTGGTTGTATTTCTCCTGTTGATTTGTTGTTTCTAGACCATCCCAGTGATGATCAATTTGCATTTATCCATTGCTAGCATGGTGTGCTCTGTGATTCCCATGGAGCTGCTCTGCACACGAGGAAGATCTCCCTGTGTCCCAGCAGTGATGCTGCAGTGATGCAGCCCAGCTGCAGGTCTTGCAGCAATTGAGGGAGGGCACTGAAATAAATAAAATATTTGACCAGCAAAATAATAGAGCCTAAGCCCCCTCTCTGCCATCTGTGTGGTTGCATCTAAATACATCCAAGTCAGAGGAAGGAAGGAAAACAAGCAGGGGGTGTAACCAGCCCCTGATGGGTGCCATGGGAGCTGAGGCCTGCAGTGAGCAGAGGGTGGTGATTCAGCCTAATAGATCTAATGGCACCCAGCCAGGCAAAGGAAATTGTGGGATCATGATGCAGCAGCTGTCCCATAGCAGTTTGTTTCCATCATCCAGATGTGACTTCATGTCCCCACCGCCCCACCCTTTCGTTCTTTCCTGTACCTAAATGTTCCCCCTGCGGAGGGGAAGGGATTGAGACACCGTGTCCTCAGGAAGAGGAGTAGTCCATGAGAAGGAGGTGCACCTAAATGGCATGAGAATCAGGGAACACGGAATGTTGCTCTGGGACTGTGTGTTGGTGGGACCACAGCTGCTGAAGTACTTGGGCTCTTCCAGCATCCCCCAAATTCAGCAGGCTTCTCCAGATGACCTTGTCTCTGGACACTGCTTCCCAGGGAAATCCTGTAGCACAGAGGAGCCCAAGATGAAGGTAGGGGCCAGCCTTGCCTGCTAACAGGACTACACTGTCATCCAGTTGGTGTGCATCTAACCAGGCCTTTCTCTCCTTTCCCCAGGGAAGACGATGAAGCTGTAGAGATGCTTCCCTACGTGATTGCCACCCTGGGCTCAGCAGGGGCCACCTGCAAAGCCCCCACATGCAACAACAGCACCAAGGACTACTGCTACAGTGCCCGCATCCGCAGCACTGTGCTGCAGGGGCTGCCCTTCGGTGGGGTGCCCACTGTCCTAGCCCTTGACTTTATGTGCTTTCTTGTAAGTCTGTCTACTGTTGCTTCAGCACCTTTTCCCCTAATTAGCCATGAAGGGAGGACTGTGGTCAGGTGGTTAGAGTCGAGGGCCCCAAATGCCATCTCAGGCTTTGCTGCTGGCTGACTTTATGACCCTGATCGTGTCCCTTAGCCACTATTGACTTAACTCCAATACCACTGCACTGAGCCAATGGAAGGGTGTTAGAAATTTTCCTAAGGACACGGGTCAGGTTAGGTCAGTCCTGCATCCCAAAACTCCTACTTATGGTACCAAGTCCCTGCAGCTTTACCTACCCAAAGGCTTTGCTTGTTCCTCCTTGGGAACTGCAGGACCACAGATGCAGTAGCCATAATCTCGCCTCCTTGGGACCTTAAGGGCCTTTCGATTCTGTGGCTAACTTAGCTACTGTGTTGCATCCTGGACCTCTGCCCCCCACAGCCATCCAGATAGTCTGATTTTAACAGCCTTGGGGAGCTTGTGCTGCCCCATGGCCTCAGTGTGCTGTTAGCTGAGCAGTCCTGTCCCCTCTTACCCTGCCTGTTCCTGTGGCTCTGCATGCAGAGGACAAGGGCAGAGCTGGACAATGCCTCATCTCACAACTCCTTCTTTGCTCTCTTCCAGGCACTGTTGTTTGTCTTTTCAATTTTGCGTAAAGTTGCTTGGGACTACGGACGCCTGGCCTTGGTGACTGATGCTGACAGGTAAGCATGGGAGAGGGGCAGGAAAACAAGGCATGAGTGGTGCCCTTTGCTGCAGGGCAGAAGGGATAAATCCCCTTGCATGTGCCAGAGGCAGGTGAGGAAGAGAAGCAAGCATGCCAGTTGTATCCCCTGAGCTCCAGGAACAGGAAAAATCCCTGCTTTTACTGGCTTTTTTGTTACAGCATCCTTCTCCCCACACCGGGAGTGGTCCCTGCTGGCTCCATATCGCTTATGGTCCCTGACAGAGGTGTGCAGGGGCCCTTACAGAGGAACAGCTGAAGGAAGAGAGAGAGGAAAAAAGGTCACAGGAAGGGTGAGAGTTGCCACAGTGAAGGCTTTGCTAAGCCTCTGAAGGTGTCTTTGTGGCTCTGCTGGATGCAGTTCTCATTAAGAGCGCTTGAAAGCGGTAGGCTGCGTTTCCAGGTGCGGTACTGCTGTGCTAATGCAAGTTTAAGTCTCATCCCAAGCACCGATGAGTCGGTCTGGGTATGGATCCTTCCTGCCCAATGCATTCGTGGGCTATAGTGTCTGTCAGCAAAAGCTGGGGCCCGTTGGGGATGACAGCTCCAGAGCAGAGCAATATGCTATTCTCGGGTTTGCTGTCAGCGGCAGGAAGGACAATGATTATTTTCTTGCAATGCAAAAAAAGGAACTTTCCTTGATTAAGCTAGAGGGGTTGTGCAAGTAGTCCACCTCTCTCCAGGGGTGGTTCACTGTATTCGTGGTGCTTTGTTGTGTGCTAGAGGGAAAGTGTGTCTTCTGAAGGCTGGCTGTGGTAGGTGATTCTAGTCCTTGATCAGCTCCACGAGCTCATCACACCCAAAGGCTTGGATGGGGCTGAGCTCCAGCCTCTTTGGTCCCTTTGGTGATACAGATTCAAGCAAGCTGCTCTTGAGCACTCCATGCATGACAGTGGAAAGAGTAAGAGTTGTTTTCTTCCAACACTGAACGAGGACCTCTTCTGGTGTAGATGAGTGTTAGATAAGCAGCTGTGTCCTTTTGGCTCTCCTTTCCTGGCCTGGCTGGGGAAGTCAGCAACACAAGGGCCTTGGGGGAAAAGCAAGGAGAAGGGAATAGCCAGATGAGATGTCACTGGGGAAAGAGCAGCAGCCACTTGGGGTTAAGCTATCTGGACCTGAGTGCTGACTGGTAGTCACAGAGGCTGCACAGCTCTGGCCTTCAGTGGGGAGAGGTGGCCGGCCCTTCTTGGAGGCGATGCTTTGAGCACCTTGGGAGTGAGGGAGTGGGAGCATCAGCTGTAGGCAGAAAGGCAGAGGAGTGCCAGCTGTTTGGCGAGGGAGAGCTGGTAAGCATGGGGAGAGGCTGTGGTAAGGGCTGTGGATCACCAGGACTGGGATCCCAGGGAGGAGCTCCTGCTGCTTGACCCATCCACAGGGTGGGATGAGAGTTTCGGGCGGGTGAGATGCAAGAGTGTACAGGCTGCTTGGGTGGTAGGGAGGAGAGGCATGGAAGGAGAGCTCACATGGCAGCTGGGCAGCCCCAACAGGCTGTCCTGCCTGGCCCCATCCCTCCAGAGCTCCCTGGGACACCCATGGTGTGGAGCTAGGCCACCTTCCCAGTAAAGCCAGCTTCCTCTTAGCTGTCAACAAAGCGCTCTGCCCTTAGGCCAGTGGCGACTCCAGGGTGTTGTGACTTGGGGCAGCACTGGGCTCTGGAAGGAAGGTCTTCTCCAGCCTGACGATTGGCAGGTTTCTCTTCCTCAGGACACTGTGAAGTTCTGTTGGGTGCATAGCTCCCCGCAACAGAGGAGACCCAGCACCTGCTCCCATGGTTATAACTTCTCCTTTTGTGTTTCTGTGCCCTCAGGCGCCGACACTGGCAGACGGAGCGAGAGGAGCGGGAATAGTATGTCCTTTTTTCAGGGTCTCGTTTCTTTTCTCTTTCTTGCTTGCATTCTCTCTCTCCTTTTCTCTTACAGTTTTCTGTCTTGCTTCTGAACTAATCGAAGTGGCTGGGAGTTTGGGCTTGGATTTGTGCCTCTCGGTGGACTTGTGCTCTTTTCTTTCCCTCCCCTTTGTGTCAGCCACTACCACAGCTGGATGCAGTCTGGTTTTCCCGTAGTAGACCTTAAACACTCAACGAGGGCAGCAGTGCTGAGGAGCTCCCAGTCCTGGTTGAGGCGGAGGGTGCCACATCAAATACTCTGCTCTACCTGCCTGTGTCCAGCTATCCTGCCTTACAATGGAGAAAATAAGCCTGGTTGCCTGAGCCCACAGCATGCTTGGGTCTCCCAGGTGCAAGGGAGCCTCCTTTGCCTGGTCCCTCTCGTGCCAGAGTGCCATGAGAGCTGCTCCCACGCCAGCTGCAAGGGCAGATGGTGCACAGAAAGGGTCTAGCAGGCAGTTGCAAGACTTGTCTCTTTTTCCTTTACCCTGTGAGGCTGCTGGGACCAGGGCAGGTGTTGGCCCATGTCCCTTGCCACATACACCAGCTGACAGCACGCCCAGCAAGGCAGCACCTTTGTCCTTTCTCTCTTCTCCCTACAGAAGCAAACTCCCTGCCTCAGTGCTTCCGAGAGCATCTTCCAGCACCTTGGCCTGGCGTTGCCCTTCAAGCACTGCCATGGATCCTCCCTCCCCGCTCTTTCCTCTTTCTTGCTGCTTTTGTGCCTAAGAAAAGGGCATCCCCCGTGCCTTGCCGGCCGGCTGGGTAGTAGATGCTGCAGAGCAGACGATCACTGGCAGTGGCAGAGCCTGCCATGGTCGCTTCAGCCAGGCTGACCTGTGCGTGAGTCCAGGGCAGCAAGCCGCAGCCTCACTTTTCATACTCCATCACTTCCAGTGGCAGGCCCCTGCTAGCTACTGCCTTGAGAGGGTACAAGGATATTCCTATTTTTGTAGTTGCTTCTTGCCCCTGAAGGACCAGAGCAGTTGGCATGAAAACAAGAGGTGGTAGCTGTGGTACATGGCACAGAGGGGACTCCTTGCTCCTGCTTGAGTGTTTCACTAGTGGTTGGTCCTGCTTCAGGTGTGTCTGGTAACTTTTCACTGCTAACACCTTGTGGGGGGAGTAAGGCAGAGGTAGCAGAGCCATCATGCTCTGAGGTTTTTCAGGGGGGAGACCACTTCCAGTTATGGTCACAAGCGCTTGTCTCTCTCCAGGGGGCCACTTCTTCCTGTTCCCATTCTTCATCTGAGCTTGCTGGAGCTCTCTGCTGACACCCTTACCCTTCTAAACCTACTGCTTGAGCTGGGACAGTATTGATAGCCACAAACTTCCAAAAGCCTGTGAAGCTCAGCAAGGAAACCTTATCCTGGCTGTGCTCATCCAAGGCTGGCGGCACCTTCCCATCACAGTGTCAGGTGGTGGGTTAGGGACACATGTATGCCACCCGGTGCTCCCAGCCCTTGAATGTACAACATCGCTCTTGGTGTGAGAGGGCAACCTCCCCTGAGATGTCCCTTTGCCTGAGAGCTGGCAAATGCCCTTGTTCTGCCCCTGGCCAGAGCTTGCCGTGGCCATTGGCACTCTTAATTGGTGACTCAGTCTGCACCGAGAGGTTGTGGCAGCCTACCCGCACCTCTGCGTGTAAGGCCAGTGATCACAGAGCTCCCTGGGGCTTGCCACCCACACAGCCACCTCCTGCCTCGCACCACGCCTGGACTCCCCTCCCAGACCTTGTGATTCCCTTGGCCTGAGGCTAGCCATGCCTTGGACCCTGTCCTTCTTCCCTGGCAGGGCCAAGCACCAAACCTGGGGTGGTGGGCAGGGCCCCACCTTAAACTTCTTGTCGTTTAGGGCAGCATTACAGCCACCCACTTGCCTTTTTAGTGCTTTGCTTTAAAAAGCCTCCAGCTAGGTGCAGGTACCACTGGAGTTCCCGCTTCAGCTTCCCATCTGTGGCAAGGCTTGGCTTCCTCTGTCTTCTCAGCACTGCTAGTCATCCTAATTATTGTCTCTGCATCCCCCTGAAGGGAGCTGGGTTAGCTTGGTTGTCTCGTAATGTGGCACTCTTCTCAGTGGTTCCCTCCAGTGCTGTTTCTGCTTTGCCCTCTGCTTTTCCAGTACAGAGGAGCCAAAAGCACACCATGTCATCGTGCTGGGCTCGCCTCAGGGCTGCAGACAGCAGAAATCCATCCTCACTCCCTACACCCAGCTGCAAGGCCTCTGGGATTTTAAAGGGCTGAAGGTCCGAGAGCTTGATCGAAGATCTCTCTGTCCCTCCAGCAGAGCAGGGTGTTGGGCTGTGCAGTCGCAAGGCTGCACACCACTGTCTAATCTGCACTGCTGTAGTCCCATGACCTTCAGCTAATCTCCTTTCCCCTTTCTCTGTTACTTCCAGCTAGGGACTCAGCAGGTGCTGCTCTGCTCAGAGCATGTGTCCCATCCTCCTTCCTTTGGCAGGGTCACAAGGGTCTTTGCTTATTCTCCTTCCCATAGTGTCATCCACCATGTCCCTAGCACTTGTCTCAGCTGCTTCTTCTCTGGGTTCTTGGCTGTTCCTCCTTGAGCCTGTACTGGTTACAGGGAGACTGTGTTTTCATCTGTTTTTCTTCCTTTGCTTCTAGCCTTCAGATCAGACGTATCTCTTCCTGCACCTCCAAGGCCCTGGCCTGCTGTTGTCATCTTGAAAGTTCTATTTACTTTGAATTTCTGGACCATTTTCTTGTTTCCTTTGCCAGGTGCCCTCTGCCTCCATTTGTAGTGGGGGCTGTTGTCTGCCTTTGGATGCTTTTGCTGCCGGTTCTTCATCTAGATCCCTGTCTGTTCCTGGAGTAAAGCGGTCTGGGATATTCACCTCTCTCGCTTTCCTGTCCTTTAGCCTGTGATCACTCACTTCTAGCTGTCTGCCCCGCTCCTGCTGCGCAGGGATTTCCAGGCAAGAGGCTCAGCTGAGGCTGTGGAGCAGGTTGGGCTGAGCCTGGCTCCAGCCAGCACGGCTGCTGGGGCTCAGCTGCCTTCCTCCTCCTCCCGGCTTTCCCTGCGCTGAAGCACTGAGGACGGGGAGCTCTGTTGTAGCGGGACACAGCCCACCAGACTCCCAGCTTTCCTCCTCCCGAAGGCGAGCGGGGCTCTCCGGGGACGGGAGCCAGAGCCAGCACCTCTCTGGAGCGCCGGGGCTGCCGCCTCGTGGCCGCACCGGTGACAGAGGGGCTGCGGCACCCTCTGGTTCCCACCTCCTCGCCTCTCTCTAAACCCTGCGCTTAACACACTTTGTCTCTCCTCCGTGGCAGCCGCTGCCAGCCCCTCCTCGCAGGGGCTGCTACGTAATGCAGGTGCCTCTCAGAAGGTGCTGAGCAAGCAGCATCCACGGCCAAGCCCGTGGGGGGGGGGGGGGTTGCCAGGCTCAGGATGCTGTCTGAGGAGGGGTCTCTGCTTACTGCTACCTCTGCTCTGATCTCACCACTCTCCATCTCACCTGAGGCAAACTGACCTGAATTAACCTCTGATCTTCTGAGTGCTCTTCGTTCCTGGCCAGGCTGCCTCCTGACATCTTCTAACTTTCTCCCTCACCTCCCGCTTGTCATTTTAGCGTAGCCTCTGCCCTGCACTCCGACAACCACGACCGCTACGAGCGCCTCACCTCCGTCTCCAGCTCTGTGGACTTCGACCAGAGGGACAACGTGAGTAGCAGCAAGAGTCAAACACCTTGCCCTTGAGTGGCCAGGAGCCCACAGCTTGTCTGAACCAAGGGCTCTTCAGAAGAAACGCTGTTTTCCCATCCCTGGGCCTTAGGTCCCACACCTTGTAGTGTGCAAGTGTGGTGTAGTGCTCAAGGAGACGTAACTACGTGGCTTCTAGACATGTGCTTAAATTAGTAGGCTGTACATCCCTATGGCTTAACGGATATCTGTCCAACCTATCATCTCAGCCATTACAAACAATACTTGCCAGCTCCTCCTCACACTGCTGTCTAGTTCTACTGCTGTTTTCTTCTCAAAATGGGAGGCAGTTCAGTCGGATAACAGGGTGTGATGAATGGGTGGTATAGCTCCCAAGAAATATTCCTCCCCCAGGTGTCCTCTGAGGAGCACTGGCTTGGCCCAGCCTGCTTTCCTAATCCCTGCAGAGCTCCTCTTGCGCAGGATGATGGCTAAAGTAACTATATGGTGAATTTTCTGGGTGTCCTTAGGCTGTGGAGAGCTTCCATGCTAGCCAGGAGCCCATGGGCTACCTGGGAAGTCGAGCTGCCAGTTGGTAGGGGACAGCCACATAGAGTCTAGCCTGTGTTATGTCCCATGGAGTAGCACTGTCACCTCCTTCACCTTGGCTCATCCGTGGCTCTGCATGTCTGGTTGCTGATGGTCTGTCCCCCGTAGCCAAGTTTGTGGAGGTGCAAGGACAGCAGCCTGGTCCCCTGAGCCTTTGAAGGAGAGAGCAGGTATAAGGGAACACAGACTGATGTAAGACCCTCCTGTCTTTTTTTTTTCTGCACAGGGTTTCTGCTCCTGGCTGACAGCCATCTTCAGGATAAAGTAAGTACTCCAGAACCTGCACGGGGGACCCACATGGGGAAGAAGGGGAGGCAGTGCAGGGCATTGGGACACTCGGCACAGTATAGCTCTGTGAAGTCACTGCCCTTGCTCCAGCCCCTTCTCTGAAAAGCACAAGCAAATTGTGATCTCTGGAGAGGACAAACAAAGACAGGACTAGATGAGGAGTCTTAAAGCCAGAACTAAGGGCACACAGTGAGTCTGTGACAGAGGAGAGCACCCAGCCCAGGTCTCCCCTGCCTCAGTCCCATCTCGGAAACAGCGTCCGCTGCTCTGCAGAGATGCTCCTCTCCCAGGGACTCCTGCCAGGGGCACTGCTGTCTGAGGAGTGGCTGCAGTGGAGGGGCTGGAGGAGGCAGGGAGGCACCTTCAGCCTGATGATGCTCAGGAGTAGTCTCCTGAGTACTTCTTAGCTTCAGAGTGCTGTGGGATAGTGTCAGCCATCCTGTATCTCGGCAGGGGAGGCAAGGTGCACCAGGAGGGTGTGAGGTGTGGGGTTTGTGTGTGTGTCCAGCTGCTTGTCCTGGGGGGCAGAGGGCAGGGGCATGGGCATGGGGAGTGGGGCTGCAGTAAGCATTGCACGGGCAGGTTTCTGCCCAGGCTGGTTCAAGGCTGGGTGCTGAGCTCCCTACCTCAGGGCCTGGCCTCAGCTCAGTAGGGCAGAACCAGGGGTGTTGTGTGGGCTCAAACCAGGAGAGCAGCCCTGTCCCTGTGCCTTATCTCCAGCACTTGAGCGAATGTAGAAGATTGCCTGACAGCCTTTCTCTCCCCGGCAGGGATGATGAGATCCGGGACAAGTGCGGGGGTGATGCGGTGCACTACCTGTCCTTCCAGAGGCACATCATTGGGCTGCTGGTGGCCGTGGGTGTGCTCTCTGTGGGCATCGTGTTACCTGTCAACTTCTCAGGGGACCTGCTAGGTGAGAGCCAGGAGCCTTTGGTTGGGCTGGGGGAGCTGCTTTCAACACCGTGTCCCAGATCTCTGGGGAGCAGTGAAGGGCAGGACAGGACTAACACAGACAAACCCTGACTGCTGTCCCACTTGAGCGTGGCACATCCAGAGGGTCATCCTGGGCAGCTGGGGTTCTGGGGTGTTCTGCAGGTGAGATTCCTGCTGTAGCCTGCCTCAGTGGTGCTCTGTGCCACTCAGTATAACTAAACGTGCTCGTGTCTGCCTCTTTCTCCCCAGAAAACAACGCCTACAGCTTTGGGAGGACAACTATCGCTAACCTGAATTCTGGGTATGTGTGGGCAGGGGTGGGATGGATAGCTTGAGGCTCTCAGGGTATTTTTTTAAATGGCCACTTGCTGCAGAGCCTCACCTCCTCGAAGGCTGCATTTCTGCCCTTGCTGTGAGGCTGCTGTCCCTGCTCCAATTTCCCGGCTGAGCTGCTGGAATTTGGTTGTAGGGCGTGTGGGTGCCATGCCAGTTATACTGCTGGTGGCCGCAGTGCCTTCAGGGCCCGACCAGCCATACACAGGCTTGTAGTGGCAACCTTGCATTGACCTTTGTGGTCTCTCTTGTGACAGGAATAACCTGCTGTGGCTGCACACATCTTTTGCCTTCCTGTACCTGCTGCTGACAGTGTACAGTATGCGCCGGCACACCTCCAAGATGCGCTACAAAGAGGATGACTTGGTGAGCAGGATCTGGCTGCACGTTTTCCCGTGCCCTTCTGTCAAGTCAAGTGGCCTTGGAGAGAATGCCAAGCACCCCACTTCCAGCAGCAATCTGGGGCTGTGTTGTTTTGACTGTTCTTTTATTCTGCCTGGCCAAAGGCAGATCTCCAGAGCAGCAGCCCTGCCTGAATGTGGGGAAACAGGAGAGGCCTGCACTGGATGAACATGTCAGGGGACCCTATGCCTTTCTCAGGGGTTGCTCCAGCTGCTTTTGCCTTCTTAAGGGTACCCTCAGTTTCTGTTCAGGCAGCTGCAGTGTAAGCCCCTAGCCTGTCAGTATGGAGCACACCGGGATGCAGGATGGCAACAGCTAGTGGAAGCACAGGAGAGGGGGAGCCCTGGGTGCTAGAGGAGATGGGGCTGCCCTTTCCACTTGCTGCCTCAGGCCTTGGGGGTGTTGCTGCAGTCTGGTCTTTCACACCATCCACACTGACCTGCTCTCTCCCTATTTTCTTCCTTCTTTCCAGGTTAAGCGAACTCTTTTCATCAATGGGATCTCAAAATATGCTGAGCCAGAGAAGATCAAGAAACATTTTGAGTGAGTCTCACCCTGTCCCTAATGCAAGGCTACTCTCTATCAGGGATGTTTTTATTGGGGTACTGCTAGTGTTACATGCAATAGCAATAACACATGGAGAGCAGAAAGCTAGTCAAAATCGGTGAACACTTTTATTTTGGCCATCTCACTGTTGTTTTTCTGCACAATTTTTTATCTGAATGTGCAGTGTCCTTGGTTTTGTGCCTTGGGATACACCTGTGCAGAGCCATAGGTGGTCAGGGTGGTAACTAGTGGACAGGGCATGTCCTGAGCTGTAGTCAGGTTCAGAGATGAGATGCAGGCAGGAGGCGCTCAGGCAGTGACTATGGGATGTTGTGCTGGTGGTTCTGCCCCAATCACCGTTCTTGTAGAAAAGTACACTTTTCTTCTTAACAAAAAAATTAAATTCTGTCAGGAATTCTTTTGTCAGGACCTCAATGAACATAGTCAGGACCATGTTTAGAAGCACCATCGGGAGAGGAAAAATCCTTTGTACCCCTTGGGAACCCTTCCACCTCTTTCCAACGCCAAGCTCGGTGGCCCATGAAGGCAGAGAGGCGGTGTGGGGTCAGAAGGGTGCCTTGCTACCATAGGGCAAAAATCCAAATAATCTTCTCCTGCCAGAACCTGGAGAATGTAGCATTTGCCCCGTGTGTTGCTTCCACTATGAGGGACAGAGCCTGCAGGCTCCCCTGCTGCCCTCAGCAAGCTCTTGCTATGTGTCATGGTGCTCAGCCTGGGGCAAGAGAAAAGTCCTGGATGTGTTGGGGTTTTGTTGAGCGTACAGCTTTGGTGCCGGGTGTGATGAGCTGGTGCTTCCCATCCACAGGGAGGCCTATGCCAACTGCACCGTCCTGGAGGCCCGTCCCTGCTACGACGTGGCCCGGCTGATGTTCCTTGACGCGGAGAGGTAACCCCTGGTTTGGGAGAGAAGGCAGGGTGGGCCGATGCCATGGGCCCTGCCTCAAGTCTGGTGTCACAGGAGCTTTTCTGAGCCACCCTTCTTTCTTTTCTTCCTTCCTTCCTTCTCTTCTGCTCTCCTGTTTCAGGAAGAAAGCTGAGCGTGGGCGAATCTACTTCACCAACCTGCAGAGCAAGGAGAACACCCCATCCATGATCAACCCCAAGCCCTGCGGCCACCTGTGCTGCTGTGTGATCAGGGGCTGCGAGGAGGTGGGGGGAGAGCTGGAGGTGTTGGGCAGCGGGGCACGTGGGGGCTTGGGTCACCAGGTCTTTGCTCTGATGCCTGTCTCCCCCCTGCCCAGGTGGAGGCCATTGAGTACTATACCAAGCTGGAGGAGAAGCTCAAAGATGACTACAAACGAGAGAAGGAGAAGGTGAATGAAAAACCTCTGGGGATGGCCTTTGTCACCTTCCACAATGAGACCATCACAGCCATGTGAGTACAAAGGGTACTGTCCTCCCCGGGAAGGTGACCTGTCCTAGCTCTCGCCTTAAATCAGAGGACTTCCAGCACTAAGGCATCCTTCTCAGCTTGTACCTGACAGTCCTCTGTGTCAGCATCTCCCTCTTTCTCTTCTCCAGAATCCTCAAAGATTTCAACGCTTGTAAGTGCCAGGGCTGTGCATGCCGTGGGGAGCCCAGGGCCTCTTCCTGCAGCGAGTCCCTCCACGTCTCCAACTGGACTGTCAGCTATGCCCCTGACCCACAGAATATTTACTGGTGAGCAGCTCTGTGGGGATGCAGCAGACCCTGCCAATGGAAGAGGGGTGCACTGTCCCTCTTTCCTTCCCCATCTGCTCCTCTGGTAACTGAATGAATTGTTCTTGCTGAAGCCCAGTCTGGCTGAGCTAGAGGTCTGATCTGACTTGGAAGGGAAAGCCTTGGGCTGGGGCCTCACGTGCTGTTCATGCAGGCTGGGCCGTGGCATGCATGTGAGGCCCCAGACCTGCCCTTCTCCCCCATGCAGCCATCCTGATGCCCCCCTCCTCCTCCCCTCCCAGGGAACACCTCTCTATCCGGGGCTTCATCTGGTGGATCCGCTGCCTTGTGATCAACGTGGTCCTCTTCATCCTCCTCTTCTTCCTCACCACCCCTGCTATCATCATCACCACTATGGACAAGTTCAATGTCACCAAGCCTGTGGAGTACCTCAATGTAAGGCCTTTGGAGACGGGTGCAGGCTGGGTGGCGTGGGAACCACACCGAGGCACAACAGCCCCTGCAAGGGAAGGGGTAGGGAGAGAGATTGTCAGTGCTCCCCAGGCCCTGTCAGCCTGAGCACGAGGGAGGTGCTGAGCTTGGCCAAGGTGTGGTGGCAGCCACAGTGCTGGGGACCCAGCGCCAGCAAAGGCAGCTGTGCCCGTGGCTGGCAGGAGAGCTGCCACACCGTGTAACGCGTGGTCTCTTCTCTGTGTCGTTGCAGAACCCCATCATCACCCAGTTCTTCCCCACCCTGCTGCTGTGGTGCTTCTCTGCTCTGCTGCCCACCATCGTGTACTATTCTGCCTTCTTCGAAGCGCACTGGACCAGGTAAAGACAGCCAGGACCTGTTCTTAGTCATACCAGCGTACTGCCTGGCCACTAGTCACTTCTCACTGACGTTAAGCCCCTGGCTGGATCCTTCTGCTTGAACTTCTGTCTTCTGCTCCACATGCACCACTTGGACACCCAGGGTCTGCCGTGGACAGCTGCTCTGCCAGTCCTTAGCTGTTGTTGTGCAAAATGGTTGTCTGAGCAGAGCTTAACGTAGGTCTACAAGAAGAAGCAAGCTGGGAGGAGTTGGGGCTGGTCACTGTGAGAAATGCTAGGGAAGTCGGCTCAGGTGAGTGGGCAGGAGAGGTGTGCCCATACCCATATAAGTCATAGCTTTTCCAAGGGAAAAATCACCTTAGCTGCTATGGCTTCTGGCCATAGGGAAGGTATCAGACGTGCAGAGCACTAGAACTGTGCTGCTTGTGAGGCACATTCCCCACAGGACATGCAATGTAAGCTTTGTTTTCTGCTTTATGTTGCAAAGACTAGTGGGGAGGATGTTACCAGCTCCGAGGATTGCAGTTCCACAGAGATGATTGCAGAGTGTTCTCTAAAGATACGAGGACTGTGAGGGCCTGTGAGACAAGGAGGGGAGGGACTGGGACTCGAGAGCAGACCGCAGACACACGGAGGAAAAGGGGGCGTATTCATGTACCAGTAGTGGACAGGATGAGGTTCAGATTATATACTGGGAAGTGTTTTCTGATGAGAAAGCGATGGGGGCACTGTTCCTGGGACTGGCAGGGTGACGGTGAAAGGTTAACAGCCTCCTCTCTGCCCTCAGGTCTGGAGAGAACAGGACAACCATGCACAAGTGTTACACCTTCCTCATCTTCATGGTCTTGCTGCTGCCGTCACTGGGCCTGAGCAGGTAGGTGCAGTGGGAAGGGAAAGCAATTGCAGAGACCTGGAGCACAGGGAAGGTTGAGATGCACCCCTAGTTTTTCTCCTGTACTACATCCTTTCCCCGCTGCACATGTGCCCTGGCCACCATCCCCTTGAGAAGGTGACATTTCATTCTGCTTGGGGGGCTAGGCCAGACCATACCTGGCTGGGTCTCTAGTTGCTTATTGAATTAATCCGCAGATGCATTGACATGGGCTGTGGTGTTACAAACAATGCAGCAAAAATTACTATAGTTGATGGACGCATGTGAAAAGTCTGCTCAAGGTCTGCTGGTGAAGAAGAAGGCACTCCCCACCTCTGTCCAGATATTTAAATGTGCACGTCTATCTATTGCTGCTTCTGACTGTTCCTCTTTTCTTCTTGCCCTGCTCCCCCACAGCTTGGATGTGTTTTTCCGCTGGTTGTTCGACAAAAAATTCCTCGCCGAAGCCGCTGTGCGATTTGAGTAAGTGGAATCGGGCAGAAGGCTCTTCTTTGCAATGGGGGGGAAGGTTCTTGTTGGCATCCAAAGGTACTGGGAGCTCCCAGCTGCTGCCCTGCAGGTGGGGAGCACCTCCTGCAGCTTGCTCCTGCTTCGCCTCCCCAGGTGTGTGTTTCTGCCGGACAACGGGGCCTTCTTTGTCAACTATGTCATCGCCTCTGCCTTCATCGGGAACGCCATGGACCTGCTGCGCATCCCCGGCTTGCTCATGTACATGATACGCCTCTGCCTGGCCCGCTCGGCCGCCGAGCGGAGGAACGTCAAACGAGTACGTAGCAGGGCTGAAGGGGGGGGTTGTGGCTTCCCCCCCACCTCCCAGGGATGGGAGTGCTGCAGTGGGGTCCCCGGGGGGGGGGGGGGGGTTTGCCCGCTGCCGTGTGTACAGCTGGATGTGGTGCGCACCCGCCCTCGGCTCCCAGGGTCGTGCTGATGGGTCTCTGCTCCCTCTCACAGCATCAGGCCTACGAGTTCCAGTTTGGGGCTGCTTACGCCTGGATGATGTGCGTCTTCACTGTGGTCATGACCTACAGCATCACCTGCCCTATCATTGTCCCTTTTGGTAAGTGATGCCCCTCCGCCTCCCTGTGTCAGAGGCTGGGGAGAGCTCGAGCTGGGGAGGCAAGGAGGATGGTGTGGGGGAGATATTCCCTGTCGGTCTGAGGCACTGGGAAAGAGGCTGATTCCCTGCTCTGCTGGCACCCCCTCCCTTTCTCCCAGGGCTCATGTACATGCTGCTTAAGCACCTGGTGGACCGATACAACCTGTATTATGCTTACCTGCCCGCCAAGCTGGACAAGAAGATCCACTCAGGGGCTGTGAACCAGGTGGTGGCAGCCCCCATCCTCTGCCTCTTCTGGCTTCTCTTCTTCTCCACCATGCGCACAGGTGAGCTCTGGGCTGGGATGCCAGCCCCTGGCCTCCTACAGACCCACTTCCCCGGCCAGGCAGTGGTTCTGGCAGCCCCCAGCCACAGAGCATGGTCAGGGTCTTCCTGACACCCCCACTTAGGTTCTCCTTTGCCCTAGGGTTCTTGGCCCCCACTTCCATGTTCACGTTTGTGGTCCTCGTGATCACCATTGTGATCTGCCTGTGTCACGTCTGCTTCGGCCACTTCAAATACCTCAGCGCTCACAACTACAAGGTGAGGTGGAATGCTGGGTGGGGGTGCAGGGCCCTTTTCCTTGGGAGCACACCTCAGCAGCGTAACAGTGGGGGCTCTGGAGGGGGTGCCCTATACTGCTCCCCCAGCAAAGCCTCTCAACCCTGGCTGCACAGAGGGGACAGTCCTGAGGCCATCCCCGCTGTCTGTACATTGCTCCTCTGGTGGGACAGTAAATATGTTGCCCCGACAGTCTCTCAGTTTCTCATTTCCTCACCAGATCGACCACACGGAGGTGGATGCCATAGAAAACAGGCAGAACGGGAGACCTGCCACCAGTCTGCCGGCTCCCAAATCAGCTGTGAGTCCCTGTCCCCCCCTCCATACCCCAGCGTGCTCCTTACCGGGGTTTGGGAAGGGAGAGGTAACTCCCTGTCCGAGTACCTCGCTCTTCACCTGAGGCAGCACCTGGAGTCTCCCAGTGAGGGTGGGAGGCAAATGTTGGGCACCGTGCCCCTCACCTGAGCTGGGTGATGAAGTGTAAACAACACCCCCCACACACACACACATAAATGGACAACCCTTTCCTGCTGCTCCTCGGATGCTGCACATTTACTTTCTGCCTCTCTCTCGGCTGAGACAGTGAATCCAGCTGGGTCAGTCTCCCTTCTCGTTCTGCATCTTTGCACGCTTGCCCGTCAGCAAAGGCTGTCACCCACGGGGCTGGTCCTAGTGCTAATGCAAAGGGGTCTCTGTGGGCGTTGCCTTGAAGGCCGTGAAAGTGCTTTGGGGGACTCCTCTCTCCTGCCCAACTCTGAGTTCCCAGAGTCAGTTTTCTGAACTACTCCTTGGCTCACCGGCTCGTTCCAACTGCTTCCTTCCACCTTATTTTTCTAGTTGGGGTCTGTGCAGAGCTCTTCAGGGGGTTCGTGCAGAGATGGGGTAAAGCAGAGCCTTCTGCTTTCTTAGCAGAGCAGGGCTGGGGCGTGCACATGCAATCCAGGCTCCTTCTGTTCCTCATGTACCTAAGGGCAGTGTCATCTCTCCAAAAGGAGGTTCCCCATAGGAGGCAGGCACAGCCTCAGAGGGACACATCCACTGGCAAATAAGGGAGCGCAGTCTTCCAGTCCGTGTGGGCTCCAAAGAGCTGAGAAAGCCCCATGCTCTCCCAGCCCTGGCTCCCTGGGGGTGCTGCCTGTCACGAGATGTGGGGGTTTGGCAAAAACAGGGCCAAGCCAGCCCCGCTTTTACCCCCCCTCTCCCGGTACATCCCACGGAGTCGGGACGGTTCCTCGCCCTCCCCGCGTCTCCCCACGCTCAACTCTTGCATGGCGCTTTGCGTGTGGTGCTCTGCTGCCACGAGAAGCCTCCAGGGCTCACGTGTGTCTCTGTTCTCTCCCCACCCCTCGCCCGCTCCGTGGCTGTCCCCGGCAGAAGTACATCGCCCAAGTGCTGCAGGACTCCTCGCCGGAGGGCGAAGCGACAGAGTCGGAGGAGCAGGGGTCGCAGGACGAGGAGCTCATCAACGCAGACGGCATGAACGACACGGATTTCCAGTCGTGTGAGGACAGCCTGATAGAGAACGAGATCCACCAGTAGGGACCTCGGAGGGCGGGAGGGGAAAGGAGGTCCAGGAGCGGGGCAGGCTGTGTGCACGGAGACCCAGGGAGAGGCACCCGAGGGTGCTGGCCGCTGCCCTCGCCCACCCCCGGGGCCGCTGCCTTCAGTGAGGGCAGGGGCCCTGCCACACGATCTCCATTTCCCTGCCCTTCCACCCCTGTGCTGGCCCAGCAGCTCGGCGGGCATGCTCTTGACTAGCTACCTTCTTTAACCCATCCCCGGACCCCAAAACCCCGGGGGCTGGGGAGGAGGGGGACTGACCCCCCGCGGTGCTGCTTTGGACGTGCAGGGAGGAGGATGGCTGGGTGCTTTGTGGGGAGGGGCGCAAAGGGAACCTTTGGAGTCTTCTCAGCAGGCCCCTCTGTCCCCCGTCCTCCTGGCGAGAAACACTAATAATTTATTAGATTTATAGGAAGGTGATAAAGAAAAAGCTTTAGTCAGTGTATTGGAAGCCCTACCTAGGGAGGGGGGTGGCTTTTGTCGCACCTTCTCCCTGTACATGCCCTTTCTCAACCCCTTGCAGCATCCACTTGGTGTGACATGCCAGGAGCCAAGCCAGGGCAGGCATGGGGGGTGGTGACAGCAACTTCCCCCCAACACGCACACACACACCATGGGGAAGGTGACAGCCTGGCCTGGTGGTCAGGGGCGGCATCACCCCGGGACGGGGCATGGGGTTGGTGTGAGCTGGGCAGCCCCTCACAGGGTGAGAGGTGCTGAGGGCATTTCTCACGGGCAGGAGGAGGCTCAGGCAGCCTCTCACCCCCCATCCCACCCCCGGGTCCTGTCCCCTCCTCCCCCAGGGGCACAGGCAAAGGATTGCAGCGTCATTTTAAGTGGCTTTTTTTTTTTTTTTTTTTTTTTTTTTTTGCACATTCTACTCCCCTTTCAAACATAAATCAAGCTGTCCCCTTTGTGCTACTGCGACCCCCTTTTCTACCCAGTGTCTGAGCAGCAGGGTCTGGCCCAGGGGCAATGGGGGCTGTGCTGGGGGTCTCTTAGGTGCTAGGGAGAGGGGAGGGAGCCTCCCGGACTGCAGGCCCTCGGCACCTTCCAGAGTCAGCGTTGCCTGGTTGGGATGGGGCCCCAGGGGCTGCCGTCCCTGAGCTGCCACGGGGTCTTGCCCCAGGGAGGGAGTCCTGGGAGAGCAGCCCCTGGGAGCCCTCTCCAAGAAATCCCACCGTCTTTGGGAGCACAAAAGACTCAGGGGGCTGTGCCCTGGCTGGGTGTAGGCTTCCTTAGCATCACTTAGCCTGAGAGGGGGGGCTGTTGTTTCCCTCCCTTTGCCCTTGCCTCCTCCCTGGTGATAGCTGCGTGCCTGAGGCAGTGAGGGGACAGGATGGAGGGGAGAGGTGTACTGGAGCCCCTGGCATCTGCAGGGAGGTCTGACCCTGTTTGAAGGCTCTCTGTGAGGAGGTTTCAGGATCAGTTGCCCTCAATTGCTTCCCCCGCCTCCCCTTGTGTAAAATGTAAAGGAAAATAATGTCTCCCTGCTACTGAGCTATATTTATTTCCCTCCACCCCCTGCCACCATCCTGTTTGGTGCTCATTGCGGACACTACCACCTTCCCTCTGCCTGTTGTCTGTGGGTGCTGCTCTGGCTCCCTGGGGCTGTGCCCTCCAGGCCGGGTGGAAGGGGATAGCTATTTACCTTTTCAGTCACCCATGCTGGCCCTGGAGCTCCAAGCACTTTAATAGATCTGAAGAAGAGAAGTGTCAGCCCTGCCCAGCTCCTGTCCAGGGAAGGGCGGTCACATCCCATGGCTTTTCTCTCCCTCGCCCCCCCGTTAGAGGAGGGGAGCCAGAGACACGGAGCAGACGGGGCTCTGCTCCGGGGAGGACATAGCTGACTTTCCTGTACACCTCTCTATAGGAATCCCAGGCCCGGAGAAAAGGGGGAACAGAGGGGAAGAGATGTGGGTCTCTGATGCATGGGGAGGGCAGGCCACCCCAGCTCCCAGGGCTTGGCCAGGGCTGCAGCACAGGTGGGTGCGGAGGGGCACCGTGAGTGTCACTTGTCCCCTCCAGGGACAGCCTGGAAACGAAATGAGCGTGTCCGCTCCCAGGCTGGGGTGGTGAGGATGTCGATCCTGCTTCCTTTTTCTTGCCCTTGCCCCCAGTCCAGCAGGCGGGCTGGGATGCTCCAGTCTCTGTAGGTACAGCTGTGGCCCGGGCTGCCTCTGTGGCTGTCAGGGCTCTGCCCGCAGAGAGCTGTGTGTTCTGAGTGGCACTGTCTGTGTAGAGATGTGTATAATACCCTGTATATATTTGTGTACAAAAGAAAAAAGGAAAAAAAGGAGCTATTGTTCTTGCAGTCTTTTCTTTGTGGAGAGGGTTGGGGGCTGGGACCTGGGAGGAGAGGACCCCAGCTCGCAGCTGGGATCCAGGAGCATGCGTGGTGCAAAAGGAGGGGTGGGGGGTTTGTGCGTTCCCCCTGTGGGAGCACAAGCCCTGCCCTGCCGCAGGGAACCGGGCTGTGGCTCCTGGGCTCTCCCTCAGCCTTGCGGAGGCATCGAAGGTTTCCCTGCTAAAAGCGGGTGGGTGGGGAGCTGCGTGCGCCGAGGCTGGGATGGGGGAAGAGGCTTTTGGGAACGGTGTGGGAAGGGAGGGGATTTCTGCTGGTAGCCTCGGTGGCAGATGTCAGCCCAACCCTGCGCTCCTAATAGCGATTTATGCGACCGCTGCTGCCGTCTCTTAACCAGGAACCTGCCTCCTAAGCCTGGTTTGAGTGCACAGCTACAGCCTTTGGGAAAGCACGAGGGGGTGCGAGAGCCCTGGAGCTGCAGCTTGGCTGCCAGCGCTTTCCTGCTGCGTGCTGCTGCTTGTAGCTCAGCCGTCCCCTCGGCGTAGGGGCCAGCAGCCAGCCCCCAGGCCTGCTCCCTGCTGCTCCCCAGGGCAGGCTGGGGCTGGGGTGGCTCCCAGGCAGCCGCTGCACGCTCCTTAATTTGTGTGCAGCGGCCGCTGCTCGGAGGATGGCGCAACGAAGCGGCGAGGTGTGGGGCAGGCCTCGGAGAGGTGGCCAAGAGACACACACACCCCCCCCAGCTCCCTTTTCACCTCGCTGAGTTCAGGCTCTGGCTTCATGTGCCAGCGGTGCGGCGTGAGCAGGGGGCAAAAAGCTCTCCTTTCCCCTGTCAGCCTGCAGCCATGGGGCTGGGAAGAGGCAAGGCCTGGGCACAAACAAAGAGAACCAGACGCAAAAAGAATGGTGCCTGCTGCCAAGTCCCTGCAGGCATCGCTGCAAAGGGAGGCTTGAGGGAAGGGAACAAGGAAATTGCGCAGGTATTTGTGCAGGTGGTTGACGAAAACTGCTCCCAAGCACAAGGGGCAGGACTGGGGACAGCTTGTATGACAGGATTACACAAGGAGCTGTCTCCTACCCCTGGAGACTCGGCTGTGAAAGCAGCTTTAAAGGCCACCCGGGGGCAATGAGGCAAGAGGCGAACAGGAGAACAGGGTCACAACACAGATGGGTGCTGGCCTGGGTGGCTCTGAGTGGGGAAGGGCTGTCAGTGGTGGTCAAGACAAGAAAAAGTTGACAGAGACGTTCAGGCACAAGCAGGGCCTTGCCACAGCTGGTTTTGAACGACCTGGTTGCCCTTCCCTCGGGCAAGGCATGCAGCTCCTGCCCTCACATGCAACCTGTTCCCTGCTGAAAAAGGATTTACCCCTCTGGGGCAAGGCAGGGTGGGTTGGAAAGCAGGAGCCCTGTGAAGCTGCGGGGAGCAGCTGGATGCCTCCCCGGCTGCACCCGGGGCACGAGGGGAGAAGAAGGAGCCCCAGGGTTGACGGCACCCCTTGGGGTCACCGTGTTCAGCCCTGGCACCAGAAGGATGGCAAGCACAGAGCGGCTTCCCGGAGCTGCGGCTGGTGGTGCTGGGCCAGGCCGTGCCAAACTGGGCTGAGCTGAGCTGGTCACACCTAGCCAAGCCATGCTGGGCTAAGCCACACCAGGCCATGCCAGGCCGGTCCATACTGGGCCATGCCATGGCCTATTGCACCACCCTGGGCTGAGCGGCGCCGTGCCAAGCCCCGCTGTGGCCGTGCCCGTGGGGAGTGGCACCACCCGGCGTAACCTCCCCGTGAGTCACGGAGGGCACGCGTGGGCAGCCAGGATGTGGGAAGCCCCAGGGCAGCAGGACCTGCTCGGGGTGGGCCCTGCCGGCACCCAGCAGCAAGGGGGCAGCTGGTGGGGTGGGTGCCGGCCGCGGCTGCCAGGGGCTTTGCAGGGGTGAGGTGGTGCGGACACAGCTTCCCCAGGGGCGAGGGAAGGAAAAGGGGACCCCGCGGTGGGTGAGACCCGTTTAGGACCATCGTGCTCGGCCCTGGCACCGGGTCAACAAGACAAGGTGCAGCGCAAGAGCTTCACCCAGATAAGCCCGGGGTGCCAGAAGTGCGGGGCAGTGGCCGTGTCACCCCCAAACCCTTTCTCAGCGGGAAGTCACTCCCTTGTCTCCTTCCAGCCCTGGTTTCCATGTGCACCGAGCCCTTTGCTCGGAGTAAAGGTGGAAGGAGCGCCAGCCCGGCGCTTCCCCCTCCACCCCCGGGAGCTGGGAAGGGGTGACAGCAGCCAAGACCCCCCCCCCCCCCAGCAGCCCCGCTCAATCCCTTCCCGGGTGCTGTGAGCGGTCGCTGCGCCTTTAATTCCCCCTCCCACCTCCGTCCCGGCTTCGCTCGCACATCCTGCCCGCCGAAACCCCACCTTCCGCGGGGCCGAGCCGAGCCGAGCCGGGCTGGGCTGGGCTGAAGCGGGTAGGGCGGTGGCGACGGCAGCTTCCGTAAGTCCATCCCCCCCCATCCCCATCTTCACCCTTATCCGACCCCCAGCACGAGGTTAGCACCGGAGGGATGGGGGGGGGGTGGGTGGGGGGGGGTGGGCAGGGCTCCCCCCCCCCCGGGCTGCTTCCCCCCCCCCCCCCGGGCTCTGAGCTGCTCTAGGCTTGCCTATCCTTCCCCATCCCCTTTTTCTCCGCGGGGATTTTTGCATTGGAAAGCGCAGTCGCAGAGAGCCGGAGACTTCCCAGCCGGGGCGGCGAGTTAATCGGGTACCGCAGCGACCCCCGGGGTGCGATGTCGACCCCAAGGCAGCGGCCGCACCTCATCGAGGGGATGCGGAAACACAGCGGGGAGCCCGTGGGAAGGGAGGATCTTTGTCACCCCGGCGGGCTGGGAAGGGCCTGCGAGCTGCTTTGCGCAGCGTGGGACCCTGCGGGCGGCTGCGGCTCCTTGCCCCGAGCGGAGGATGCGGCAGGATGCGGTGTCTGGGCTCGGGCCTGGCTGGTTTTTAAGGAAGGCAGCTCCCCCTTCCTTCGGTCTCCAAGAGCAGCTGGCGAACCAGAGGTCTGCAGAGATTTTTGGCTGGAATTCAGCAGTGACGCTGTCCCGGAGTTTCTCAGTATGCTCTGAGGTGCGCGAGGTACTGGGGACGCTGCGGGGACCAGCGGTTCCCTGCTCCCAGCCGGGGGGTTATCAGAGGTGCCTCCAATACTGGAAAGCACCATATTGTGTTTGGACGTGGCCTGGTGTGGAAAACTGCCCTGGGGGCTTGGCTTGTCCCTGCAAGCCGTTTTTTCCTCCGTGGAGAACCTGCAGTATCCATCAACATCAGCCCGGGGGGGGAGTTGTCAGCAAGCGACACCATTGCTTAAGACCCGGCGTGGTTCCTGTCCCATCCCGGGGTCTGAAATGTTTTCCCTCGCTCTGCGCTTGCGTGACCTCCGCCTGCCACCCAGTACGACCTTCTCAAGTATTTTGAGCCACGGCGCTAAGAATAACTCGCAGGGTGCCCGTGTCTGGGTTGCACACAGCTCCCCGTGTCCGCGGCCATGTCCAGTGCCGGTAGGCAGGGTGGGAGAGGGTGCAGGGAGCCTGGCAGGGGCTGCGGGCAGGGGCAGCTCCCCGGCCCTCGGCAGGCTGCGGTGCGAGTGCTGGGGAGGTGGGAGCTGGAGGCTCTGCGGGCGGCTGCATTTGGGGTTCCTCCTCCCGAAGCCCCCCCCTGGGCTCCGGGCAGCGGCTGGGACCGGAGGAGCCATCCCGCCAGCTCTGCAGGCAACGAGTGCCTCTGCGCTGGGAGAGGCTGCCAGGGTGCTGGCTGCGGAGCAGCAGTCGGAGGGAGGGGATGATGGAAATGGGCTGAGCTCCATGGATTTGGGGCCATCATAGAGGAAAGAAGGGCTGGCGCTGTCTTGGAGAACAACAGTGTGTTTAGAGCATCCCAGGGCCAGGCAGAGCGATGGGGAGGAGTATATTTTCCTCCTGAAAAGCTTTTGGTTAGGACAGCCCCTTGGGTAGGCAGCCAGGTTTATGCCCTATGCACATGCCAAGAGCTTGCACCCTTTTGGCCGTTGCCTGCCTTCCCTTAGCTATCGCAGCACTTCAGGAGAAGGACAGCCGCCTCTCCGGAGCCGGGCTGCACCCTGCTCCCCTGGGACCCTGGCCCACCACTCTAAGCGGGTTGCTGGCTCCTGGGTTATTTACCCGAGGACTGCTGCGCTGCCTGGCACGGAGAAACCTCCCGAGTGCTCAGCATGGCCGAGGAGGAGCTGGGGTTTCTGGGGAGTGGGCCAGGGTGAGCCGCAAACGCCGGTGGGCCCACGGTGGTGGCACCCACCCCACGGCCCTGCTGCAGTGACCCTGCTTGGTGGAGGGGGGGGGAGGTGGATCAGACGGCCCCCAGAGGCCTCTTCCAGCCTGGGCAGCGCGACGGGCACGAGCGGCGGCTCCTGCCACGGGTGCCTGAGCAGGGCCGAGGGCAGCTGGGCGCAGGGAGGGGAGGTGGGGCTTGCCCCACGGCAGTGGGGCAGGGCTGTGGGGCCAGGCATGCCTGGCAGCTGTGGCATGCGGGGTTCGAAGCACCCAGCCTTGAGGTGCCCGTTAACTGCCTGCCTCCCCCCACCCCGGGGAGGAAGGCTTGTGGCAAAGCTTTCACCGAGGCGAGGGACCGGTGCAGTAGGGTCTGCCCTGCCCTGGTCTCCCGGTGCCGAGGTGCCCCGCTGCACCCCGTATCCCTTCCCCAGTGCCTCCCAGCAGCCTGCTCTGCCTGCAAGGCTTGAGTCACCCTGCTCCTGTGTGTGTGTGTGCTGGGAAGGGCCGTCCCGCCTCTTCCTTCCCTCATCCTCCACCAGCCCCATAGATAGAGCTTTCCCTGCGCCCCGCTGGGCTCCTCCCTTCCCGGCCCTATTGACTCAGTGCTCAGGCACCCAGAGCGGCTTTTGAGGGAGAAGGAGAGGTTCCCCGGGGCTGGGAAAAGCTGTGGGGTGGCCGCTGACACCCTCCCAGCTGTGACAGGCGAGAAGGAGC